TTCTCACCGGCACACCTTCATGCGAAAGAGGAGGAGGTCGGCTTGTGTTGCTGCAGGAGTGCCCGCATATGCGCGATCACCAAAGAGCAGGTGGTGTGTGGTAACTTAACGTAGTGGGCTGAGAGGAGGACAGATTCGGTACAAACCCCAACACTTCTTTCAGTCCTTTCAACTAGTCACACCAAAGGCTGGCAAATCTTGAAATGCCGGAAGAGAAGTGACAAGCATTAATGTAAAGCTGTGTCAAAGCAAAACAATGTTTTAATAGCCCTTTTTTTTTTTTGGCAGATCTTTGAGTGTATGACATAACTTGTTCTTAACTGTCTTTGTTACGAGTTTGTCAGCATTTTTGCTATATCACCCCCTTTGTGATCGGTGTGTGTCTACAGTAGATTAGCAGAACTGCTGAAACTTGGCTTGACGTTGTGATCCAGACAGTTGTTATTCTAAAGGAAAATCAAGTAGTTATGTCTTGAAAGCAAAAGAAAAATACAGGATTGTGAACACCATAAGCAACCTTTTTAAGGGAAGAAAACTAGAAGTGTATAGTGTTACTTTTTAGCAGGATAGTTGGCGGAGCTGCTGTAGAGCTGCTTTGGCTATCAACTTTTTTTTCCCATGTTTTGGTATGAATTTTGCATTGCAGTGGTCATTTTATGCAGAACGTGTAAAAATGTTTTCCAAGCCCACATGTGGGTGGATGATATAGCTGTTACTTAAGAGAGCTCATAGGAGTGAACTGAAGACCTGTATAGTGGACCTGTTCTGTGTGAAGCCACTCTGAACTCCTTTGGAGAAGTTGTAGACCTATTTTGGGGACTGTAGTAAGAAAAAGCTAGGAAGTTAGGCTCAAGAGAATTGTACGGCAGCTTGGACAAAGGCTTCCTCGGTGCATTTATGCTGTGCTATACATGCCATGTTCTTCAGAGTCTCATTTGAAAACTGTCTGTTTGCAATGTTCTTTCATTATTTTTTTATGGAGCTGACCCACAAGCAAACTTGCTGAAGAAGTATGTTTGCACTACTGAAAATGTTCTTGCCAATACCACTGAAGCTCATATAAGCATGCAAACAAACCAACCAACCCTCGACTGTATTGACTCTGCTGTAGAAGAGGGGGAAAAAAAATCCAGTCAACCAGCAGTAAGGCAATCCATAGGAATTGTTAAAAAATGTTAAGACGTCTTTAATTTAAAATTTCAAAATGGAGATTATATCCAATTGTAGTTTGCAGTTGTGTGTAACCAGTTATTTCAAAAGATGCACTTGTATACCCTTTCGTATGGATTTTTTTGTTATAATTCAGAAAATTATTTGTACAAATTAAACGAGTTCAAATTATTTCATAGCACGTTAAAATTCATCTGAGTTGGTGGCACAAAGCTAATTTTCTTGTTTTTAGTGTACTTTGTAAGAAGTTGGTTACTTTTAATCGCACGTGGTGGGATACACTTGATCTCTTGATAAGTGCGTGCCTTGCCTGTATCTGATGGTAAATTGTTTTAGTGCCAATCACTTTGTTTAAACTGAAACACAACAACTGCAGTCCTGTAAGAGGGAGGATTTGCCAGATTTGTGCTCTTTTTCTATCAAACTGGAAATTGAGAATGCTGATAAGAATTTAGTGGGACTGAAGCACAGTCCCATGGACAGCAAGATGTCCCCAAGCACCAGTGAGCTCTTGTGGCTTTGTGAGGCACTGCCTACTGCTCTTGCTGTCCTGGAACCATTTCTTCCCTCGATGGCAGAGCTGTCCTGTTCCCAGCCTCACAGTAACCGCCTTGTGCTGTAGTCACAGAGTAGCTCAATGCTGTCTTTGGCAGCTGTGTCACAGGCCATTGGCTTTTGGCTTTGAGAACTGAACTGAAGCGTATTTGAAAGCAATACTTAACATATACCAGAGGTAATCAAAACAATGCTCGTGGTCTTCCATTGCGAATGGGGAAGAAAGTACATTTAGAGGACAGCTTTTTCTGTCAGTGCCCCAGAACTGACCTTACTCCAGAGAATCTGTGAACCTCAAGACTCAAGGTAAAATGAGGGCAGGGAGCACTGGACTAACTTTGTAAGCATATGTTTAAGAGTATGTACAGGCTTGACATAATTTCCAAAGGTTAGACATGTATTCTCTGTTGTACTGACAATAGATACTGACATTTTACTAATACCATACAGCCTATGTACACATGGAATGCTGAATTTAGTATTGGCGGTAGCTTTCCAAACTTTCTCAGAAAAAGACCGTTATTTGATGTTGGATTTTCTGGGTACTGCCATCAACTCAGAAGCACAAATTCTTACTGAGGGCGGGTGGATATAATGTAAGGTGGTGTAGACACTGTTGCCTGTAAAACGTGTTGCTGTCTGCTAATTTTTTGACATGGCCACAGTGTTTCAGTTGTTGCTTTGTTTTGTTTTTGATTTTTGGTTTTTTTTAAGGAAAAAAAAAAAGGCTATGGTTACATTTTAACCCTTTGTTCTATCCAGTTGTCAAAATTTTAGCCTGAAACTTCTCTCTTGCAACTTGAAATCCCACATTACGGACTTTTCTTGCAGTGGTCTTTGTCAGATGCCCTGAAGAATTTGCAGTGATCCCCTAACAATGTCTAATTTGTAATAGTGTCAGTCTGGCAAGTGGATTTTAGATTAATGTAAACATAAAAGCAGAAGTCCTTTAGCTGCCTTTGCTGAAACTGTTATTGTTGATTTATTGAAGAAAATAAAGTATTTTTGGACACATTTTCTAGGGGCATAGTAGACTCATTGCTTGTTTGATTGACGAAAACCATGCTTTTAGGACTTTCCTTATAATAGACAACCTAGAGATACACATACTATGCTTTATCAAAGACCTCTCTCTCTTTTAAATCATCCGTGTATTCTCTCTCTCCAATACTTGAAGAACAACTTTGTAAGAAAAGGCAGTAGTATTTTAGCAGAAGCCACGAGTTAATTTTTTTTTTGTCAACTTAACCTGGAGGATACCAGTGACAAAACTGATCTTCACACTTCTAGAGTCGGTGTGATAGAAATGTAAAGAACTGTTACTTGCACTTTCCTTTTGCTGAAATTAGTAATTTTCCTAATGCAGTATTTAACTAAATTATTCAAGAAAATGCCTATCAAAAAGTCTGTGAACTCTGCATTTTGCAAAATTTGAATTTGGTACAATTCTGCAGTTGCCTAGCATAAAACTTTAGCTTTCCATTTTGCTGCATGTGTACTTTTAGTGTAATTCTTATTTCTTACCCTGGAACAATTAATGTCATTAGGAACACCGTTCTAACAAAACTTGGGTTGCATAAAAGCAAAAAGTAATAGTCACCTGCTTTAAAAAAAAAAAAAGCTATCACACCAAAATAAGTTTTCTAATTTTAGTATGAGGTTTCACAAAAGGAATACCAGTAATAAAATATAACAGAAGTGGTGGGTTTAGATAGTAAAACTACGTAAAGGTACCTTTCGTTAAAGAATTAAATTAGTGTCCTTCCTTAATCATAAAGTCATTCAAATGAAACTAATAGGGCAGTTAACATGAGTAAGTTCAGAGGACAGATCTTAAACTGCTAAATAGGCATACGATTGGTTTTAAATTTGTATTCATAAAAGTTCTAACACTAACATTAAAAGGACTAAACAAACTGAACTGATGCAGCACCCTGACTTTGAATTGAAATTTTGCAACATGCAAAGCACTTAAGGAAACTTGCTATTTTTGGTAGGAAGTTAGACATTTCTACATATCCTGTACATATCCCTATAACTGTATATAAAAAATAGTCAGCGTGTGGCTTTAGCCGTAACTGCTAATGAAAAGAATGGTTGGAAGGATTGGAAAGAAGTTAGGCCTATTAATTTATGAACAGTGGTAAGAGGAACTAGCTGGTAACTGGTTTCCTTCACCAGCTAAAAGAATTGTGGTTAGTTATACAGGCAGTATTGTGCGTCTAGTATTTAGCAGAGTATTTGGAAACCTCAGTCTTTTGGACATTTTGTAATTTGTAGTTCCCAACACAGAAGATGATCCAATTGTCAGCTGGGAGAATGAGTTCTTGATATGAAATGTACAACTTGTGTATTAAAGTACTTCTCAGAAATAAATGCTTTTTTGCATATTAGTTAGCGTATTCCATGTGTCTGCCATGTGTGCTTCCTGCAGTATTACTTAGCGTCCTCTGTATTTAGAGTAATACTCACTTGTAAGTCATATGGCGCAACCTGTGTGTGTAAATGCGCTTGTGTCAAATCTCCAGCCTTCTAAAGTGGTAGTACTGTCTGTACAGATTTACAGTGTAAATCACTGTAAATCACACAAGGTATGGTGATTTGATGTTAGGACACTACCTCTTCAGTTAAACCAAGATCTATGCATTTTCACTGAAGATACGAATAGTCAGATTTTATTCCATGCTAAATTGGATTATAGTGTTGAGTTATAGATGGAATTAGAATTTCTACTACAGAATGACAAATGACAGTCTATTCACTATATATTGAAACACATAAAAACGCATCCATATAATGAAGCTGATCTAGTGTCTTATCACTAATTTTTTTGCTAGTTGCAAACTTTGATCTTGTACTTACACAAACACAACAGTCTTTTTGTGTGTGTGAAGCAGAATAGTTTTCACTAGTTACAGAAGAACTACCTGTTTGATGATGTGAATTTAAATGTAGTGGTAGGACAGCTTACAGTCAGTTTAGAAATGAGTGAAAGAACAAGTTTTGATGAAAAAGTCACCTACACCAGTATCCCAGCCTGGCAACTTGGCTGTGCTGGCAGCAGAGTGCTTAGGAGAAGGCAGGAAAGTGCTTTTCCCATTCCCTCCAGTCAGTTCAGAAACTTGAGTGCTAGATACACACGGTCTTGCTGCAGACATCTGTTTCCCGTAACAGGTTAAAGACTCGTCCAGTACCACAACTTTCTCAAGACAGTATTCCTATCTCCCATTGCATTCTCCAAAGTAAAAGTAGAAAACTGTCACAAATAACAGGTACACTCAACATATTGATCTTATTGTTCCAGACAGATGCTTGTAAACAGCTTACTCAATTTTATTGTTTGCTCAGTAAGAATTTTAAGCCAAAACATAAGGTTTGAATTAAGCCTGGAGGCCCAGCAATACTCGGAGTACAGTACAGATGAATTGATAGTTTACCTTTGGTTGTTACTGCTTGACTTCCTAGAAAGTGAATCTACTGCTTTGTTCCATAATAAAACTAGAGTAGTTACAGGTACAGTTGCAAGCTATGGCTGTAGCTACAGTACTTGTTTCTTGAGCTGAAGTTGAGTATAGGCAGGTTCTGGCAAACAGCATGCCTTGTAACTTGCTCTAGAGTTAGCTTCAGCTGTTGGGCACTGATAGGTTTTGCAGGCACGTATAACTTGTAAGGAGGCAGTGGCTAGCTTCTTATTCCTTAGTAGATACTTCTGTAGTTGTCAGATGTATTTCTGAAGAAAGAAACAGAGTTTGAGTCTTACTGTGTAATTAGTAACTACTATACAATTAATTCTATATGCACTAATAGGCTGTAACTGAAACTAATGCAGAAATATTTGTCCTATAGCAGTAATGTAATACTAAGCTTTACCAAAGATAGTCCACTTTCTCCCTTGTCCACTGTGCCAGTTGCTGGATTTGTATTTCCCAGATCTCGGTAGTCTCTTATCTGTGATCCCATCTCTGGTCTGCTCAGTAACTTGCTTGCTTCTTCCAGTACATGTTGCTGCTTTCTAACCTTTGCCTGTTTTTTCTTTACATAGAAGAGGAGTCAGACCAGATGCTACTCATTTGAGGGGGGCAATTACTATTACCTTAACAGAGATGCAATGTTGAATTGTATTGGACCTGCAGTTCTGATGTTCAAGTCCTTCAGCACCTAATAGAATCGTGCATTTCTCTGGAAAATGTATTGGAGATGAAGAAACCCACAGAAAAAGGAAGTGCCATGCTGGTTTATGCAAGATAGTACAAACCAGCCATGAACTGTGGTTTAAGACTGCTTTCTAGAGATTATTTATCTATAAGGCATCAAGAGCAGCTTAGATTGTAGTGGTGGCAGTGCAGGAGCGTAAAGGGAATGACTACACCCATTACAAGCACAACTTCATTTATTTTAAACAGAAAGGAATTAATTTAAGATAATTCCACAGACGACATCTCATATGTTCTTGTCACACCTCTGGCCTTCATTTCAACTCCCTCTGAAGCTTTAGCCTTCAGAGATGAGGTGGGTTTTTTTATGTTGGGGTTGTTTTGGGGTTTTTTTGAGCTATTTATAAAGTAGTGAATTTTCCTTCTCCCAAAGATGCACTGCCAGAACAAGAAGGTAGATTACAGAGTAGTTATATCACTCTTCCCTTCAAGAGATACCAGAAAGGTGTAAGTTAATAACAGGCATCTGAAAGAATTTAACTATTAGAACAAATTATCTGACCGAACACAACCGGTGAGCTTCGAAAAAATTTTTTTTCTTTTTCAGGAGCAGAGCCAGTCTGTTTTGGGACATGAAAATGTCCATCCTTAATAGTCCCATGGTGCCAACTCTTCTGTTCATGAGTAGTTTAGGTGTCCTCTTCAAGATTCCTCAGAGCTTGAGCAGTAGGAAAGACTGTAATGTTAAAAGAACTTGAACAGAACTAATAACTCCAACACGGAACACTACCTAACAGTGAAGAGCTGCACAGTGAGTTAACTCAAATTCCCTTAGGATATGAGGCATTTTAGAAAGCTTCTCTCTTCCATTTCATAGGCAGGAGTTGTATTAGATCCATGACAACAGTACTACTGTCTTACATGGCTACCATAGCCATGCAGGTACCAGCTGTGTTACTGTTGGGAGAATACCATGTTAAGTTTGAACATGTGGGCTTCCAGGGTTTAAGTTGCTGCTCTACTTCCAGAGTTGGGTGACAGGTTTGGAAAAAATGCAGTTTGATTTAAGGTCTCCGTTTCAGTCCCTCTGAGGGTTGCCTTGCATTTCTAAGGTCTTGGCCACCTAATAAGGCTGATACCTATTATGTTTCTCATCTGCTACAACCTCACCATCTGAGTGGGTGCTTTGTTGAGCAAAAACAAAGCAATTAAAAAAGTAATTAAAGTTTACTAGTCAAATTATTTCTCAAAGCATATTCTGATTTGCTAGCTGTTAATTAAGACTTCAGCTAATAACTAATACAAGTAGTGATGCTAGGCATTAGATTAGAGGTACCTCTCAATTAGCAGATTCTTCCAGGTCAGCAATTTCCTTTCTTACCAGCTGCAGTTGATCCCCCTGTATTTTGTTGGCATCTTTAAATGTTAGTTGAAAAGGATCTCCGGTGGTCAGCTAGACCAACCTCCTGCCTTGCATGGGACATCTTTAAAGCCTTCATCAGTGGTGACTCTACCACCTCTGGCCATTCTGATCCAGTGTCATCACACTGTGCTCCTGGTGAAGCAGGTTCTCCTGACTACTCAGCTGATGTCCCATGTCACAATTTGTTATATCCATCACCTGACTCTGCTGAGAAGAGTTTGGCTCTGCTGTATTTGTAACTACCCTTCAAGCAGTTGTAGGCTGTTAATTAGATCACTTCTTTGTCTCCTTATTGCCAGACTGAATGAGCCCAGCTTTCTCTGTTTATTTCTCATCTCAGTCTGTTGAATAGCTTTCATCTGCTTCTACTTGCACAAGGAGCTGTTCTCTTTGCCTATTCCCTGTCTTCCTGTTTTCCTCAACCTATCATGAACATCAAACTGATTTTAGCCTTCTGTATTATTCCTGCAAGCAGCTTTCTATTCTTGCCTTTCATGTAGGACAACTGTAAAAGACAATTAGATGTTACAAAAATGCTTTGTCACTGAAAATTTTAGTACCTCAAGTATTTATGTTCTTAAAACACTTGTGTTGGTTTTTTTTTTTTTGCCTAGTTTTATAGAGGATTACTCACTAGGATTAGTCATTTAAAGCAAGCACACAAAGCATGCGCATCTCAGTCAATGGAATAAAGTGACAGCGTGAGTCATGGTAGATTTTTTTCATGCTGAATTTGGGTAACTAAATCTGTATTTAGCCAATGTGCTTTAAAGTTACACAGGATTCCTACTTCACTCTAGGTGTACTGAAAGGAAGAATTGTTTTCTGGTACTTGAGTTTGGTATTTCTGTAGATGTTCAAAGTAAAAGGGGTATAAGCCCCATGGAAGCAGGCTGTAGACTTCAAATGCAGACATACATAATCTGCAGAACAGGGTGTTTACTGAAGCTGAGTAGGAAATGAGGCTGCAATCCACCTTGCTTCTTGCTGCTGTGGAGGTAGACTAAAACCCATTTAACTCACCAATTGCACGGTAGTGAGCATGTGCAAATATGCACTTAGGGATGCATTTGGAGAATTATCAAGCTCTGCAGATGTCAGCACCACTTCTGCTGTAGTCAATGCTTCTTCTCAAGGCTCCAGCTTCTGCTATCAAAAGGCTTTAATAAAAGTTTCCATTCTTTCTGCTTGCTGAAAAAAGCTTGAAGTAGTAAAAGGAGCACTGGCTCAGAAGGGAAATAAATTTTTCATTAGTGAACTAAGAAAAAACATATTTAGAGACAATGTCACAAGTTAATTGCCATGTCTCTTTTTTTAAATATATACTTTCCAAGGTTAATTGGAGAGAACTCTGTGTGACTTGTAGTTGATAGTGCAGCAATTTTAGCATTTTAGTTTAGGTCAGAAGTGAGATTTTGAAACAAGTCTCTTGATTGTTCCTACTTACTGTGCTTTGGTTCACATTACACAGCGACCACAAACTGGACCCTTCTGGATGAAACTTAAACAGGAAGACGTGCTCCAACCAGTGATGGGCATTCAGCCCTGACACCAGGCTACAGCTATTCTGGGCAAAACCTCTGAAAACAGATGCATCATGGGTGTCAAGTTCTCAGCAGCAACTTCCTCACTCCACAAACGAGGTCCTTATGGGCCACGCTAACTGACATGGGTACAGAGAGTCAGTCAGCTCCACCGAGCCATGTCCTGCTGTCCAAAACCAGCAGAGCAGCCCAGACCACAGCAGGACTGACCAACCAGGACAATACCTGAGTCTGTGCAGGGCTTTAAGGGGCACACAAGCTGTAACACTCCTACACAATGCCAAGTGTTTGCTCAGTCCCTGAGCAAGCTGGGGGCTCGTGTACATTTGGCAGGAGGAGCATGGATGTTGTTATATCAACCATCCTTCCCCATCTCCCCCCAGTTATTTTTTTTTTTTAATACTGCATACATATATACTATGCCACTCTTGCAGTTGTCCTAGTTAGGAAGACCACATCTTGTTCCCTCCTTGGATGCTTGGAGAAGAGAATAAAAGTTCTATCCAGTAATGGCACTGATTAAATTACTCACTGTCTTTATCGCCGAAATGCTTGATCGTTACGAAAAGCAGCTTCTCTCTGAGCATCGTAGTCCAAATCCGCTTGCTTTTCCTGCTGTTTTTTTGCCTGCTTTTCAGCCTGATGAAGAAAAGGGATGTTAGTTGATACTTGTCAAATATAAACTCGGGGAAGTTAGCCAGGGGGTGGGGACCGCTGCTCAAGAACTGGCTGGGCATCAGTCAGTGGGTGGTGAGCAATTGCATTGTGCATCACTTGCTTTGTATATTTTTATCATTATTATTTTCCCTTCCTTCTCTGTCCTATTAAACTGTCTTTATCTCAACCCACCGAATTTTACTTTTTTTTCCTCCAATTCTCTCCCCCATGCCACTGCTGGGGGTGGGGAGTGAGTGAACGGCTGTGTGGTGTTCAGCTGCCTGCCGGGTTAAACCACAACACATCCCTTCCCACTTCTCTCCCCTGCCATACCCCGCACAAAAAGGGTATGTTGAATAGCTGAGTGAACATCAGCATTAGCTGCTGCTCTTTGGTGACCTGACCCCAGAAGACACAAGAGAGGAGTAGTGGCATGGTTCAAAAAATGGCATAATGATACAGGACAGAATGTGATCTGTCATTGTTGATCCCTTTCTTATTACCAGCCCCCCTAAGTAATCCTCCCCAACCAGCATGGGCCAAGTCAGCCTGGAAGAGGCTTCTGTTCCACCGCTCTGAGAGGAGGCTGGTCCCCAACATCAGCACCTGTGGTGCACACAGGTAAAAAACAAACAAAATGCACACATCACACCCACAGCAAGCTTCCTCTTCCTCTCCCACCCAGGAGATCTAGTACTACGGGTTTAGGTATGTGCTTCTTTCTGAGGGGGCTGACAGGGTACAGCTCTTCTATTTACCATTTGCTGGATCTGAATTTTCTGTACTTCCATGCTTGCATCATGTTGTCTTTGTTTCTTGGCTTTTTCCATTTCCAAGTAGATACGATCTGCTGTCATCCACTGATTATGATCCTTCTCATCCTCTGCTTTTTCCTCTCTCTCCTTTTCCTCTTTCATCTTCATCTGTATTTTACAAAATACACAATTAAAGTTAACCAAGGAGCTAGCCTGCTATCTTTCAGCAGAAGCAGCCCTGTATCTGTGTTCTGATAAGCACGGTCATTGTGGCTGGCCAGTGTCCAAGCCCAGGGTTTTCAGCAGCCCTGGCAGATGTGTGCCCAACACAGAAGTGGGAGAGGCAGAGAAGACGCCAGGAAAGATGCCAGCGGACCTGATGAAGCATGCTGAATCATGGCACCAGAGCCACCAGCTGTGATCTCAGCCAGGCTCCTCAGTTGGAGCAAGCAGTGGAGAGTCTGGAAAATGCACAAAATTACTAACAATTATAGAGCCTTCCAACTCTGATTTTTTTTGAGAGAGGATCATCACATGTACCGGTTGCACCTTTAAGGGGTTAGTTCTGGAGCTATAGATGGTAAATATGAGGGGCAGCTGCTAAGTGAGAACTTGCATGTGCGTCTCACTCCAGATCACTGTGCTAGAATCTATGGTGTTTCAAAAAGGTATTCAGAAGTACAAGCATATGACAGAAAGGAGTAAGAACAGACTACGTTTAGGCTTACCACAGTGGCTCTGTGTACAGCAATAGATTCAATGGCACTCTTTTTTTTTTCTTCTGTCTCTTTGGTTTTCTTTTGGTATTCGTCTTCTACCTCTGCAGCTCCTCTAGCAAGTCGATCATCTTCAATCTTACATGCCCTATTCATCTGTGCAGTTAGTTGTTCAAAAGCTTTGTCCTTGCACTCCTGCGTTAGCCTGCAGGAGAACATGAGCTACCATAACATACCAGGATATCTGCTCAGATTACCTGAGGTGCTGCTCCTAACAAAGCCAGCAATCCCACTTCCACCTCCAACAGCACCAATTACTACCGGAACCGGTAGGCATTTCTTCCAGACTTTCTACTTCTTTCTCAAGTTTTAATTACAGAAAAATTGCTTGCATCACAAAGTTCTGATTTTGCCGATATAAAAATTCAGAGTAACATTTGTCACAAAATTAAATTGCAAGTTTGAATCTTAACGCTGAAAACTGTAGCCCTAGACCCACCTATTAGTCTCTGCATTTTTTTCTCTTCTCAGATCAGCCATCGTTTCTTTTCCTTTAATATAAGCCTTAATCCGATCATCATCTTTGTCTTCTTTTTCTTTCTCTTCATCTTTAATTACTTTCTGTTGAGCTACATACTCCTGTTTAAATGGAAAAGTACTTTTATTTCTACGTAGAAAGAGATTTTGGAAACGTGAACTGAAGAAAAAAAATCTAGCAAAGACTTCAGGCCTAGCCTACAATAAGAGTTCTTTAGTTGTATCAGTGGAGAAGCTATAGAAGATAGCAACTCAGAGATGGAAGAGAATTCTCACAGCCTACTTACCACAAACTACCACAAAAGTAAAATTAGTATGTGGTTGCAGCCCCAAGGACAGTATCTTTAAGTTATATTCTTTCCTCTACTTCCCCACTGGCTCCAACTGTACCGCTCCCATCCTGTGTATCATTCACACAGCACAGACTCTGAAAGGCTCAAACAGTAAGAGGCTGTAGAACCATAAAAATGTAAGGCGCAAGGCATTTTGTAATCGTGCAGAAATGGCAGTTATGAGTATATATAGCTTTTATTGCACATACAAGGTTGGGAGCAAATGGGGTAAAATTTGTATAATTTAGGTGAGGAGTATTGGGGGGAAAAAGCAAGTAGGGTTTCAGTGGGAATTCTCTCCTCTTACTCTCTCACACGCCAATGAATCATCACGGTACCTCCACTTCAGTCTCCCTGCTCAAGCAGGCAGGAGGAAGGAAACAGTAGGTGTGGTAAATACATCTTGACTAATTTTCTAATCATCTCCAATCATAAAGGGAAAGGCAAGTTAAAAAGATACTGTCATGTCCAGACTCAGGCTATTCCCTCTTCCTAACAAAGGAAAATAGGCTTAAAACAGAGCAGGTACATGGAACTTAAATCCAGTTCTCAAGTCAAGGACAATCTCCTTGCTGTCTATATCAGACTTTTTCCATCATAGACCAGTCAAAGCTCAGATACCACATTACAGCTTCCAAGAGGCCTTTCTTGAAAGCGTGGAGGAAAAGACATAGCCTGCAACTGGCAGGGTAGGCATATGATCCAACACTCCTGAAGCTGTCAGCAAACCTCCTGTTGCCAGTAGGCCCATTATCTGTGGGTGTAATACAACTCCAGGCAGCCAAGATGAAACAAGCATTTTGAACTCTCTGCTTTCCTGTTACTTACGTGATACACCCTCTGGCGTTCAACTTTTTCCTCCTGTTCCTTTTCTTTTCCTCTCTGAATTTCCAGTTGGTACAATTGGTTCAATCTCTGTATTTGTTCCCCTTCTCTTTTGTCTTCTAGCTTGGCCAGATCTGCCTGATGCTTGTGCTCCTGTATTCTGAATCAGGAAAAGGAGTTGAATAAACAGGCTAGGGATCGCATGAAGTAATGAACAGACAGGGATTCCACACATCTACAGGTACTTTAACAGTAAAAAACCCAATACTTTGAAGTGAAAGTAGAATGTCAGAGATCAAAAATAGAATCAGTTTTTAAAAGGTAGCTGCAAATCCTTTGGCCAAAGCTCAGTCCTAGTGCAAGGGTGCTGGTTAAGCCTATACTAGCAAAAGCAAACATGACCAGCATATGGACTCGAATATTAGATTGAATTTGATTAGCCTGTTTAATTGTTAGCCCACTCCCTGTACAAGCTGGGCCTTTGCCAGCTAGCTGTCTTCCAAGAGGTGCTATGGCACTGTGCAAGACACGGTCATAGTCATCAGCCTGCGCTAGCTGGATGCATGAATGATTCTGGGCTGGGGGAAGCAGCAATAATAAGTTTTGCCTTAGGGAGACAGGTCGCTTTCTCTCAGTGCCAGAACATAGACCGTCTCTAATTTATTAGAATAGGCATAGCCACAGCCACTGGCAACAAGAGACGTTTCTGAAGCTGGAGAACAGAATCACGGAGGAAACGGAGGGTGAGGAGAGGTGACAGGTTTTCGGCCTGACCGCTGAGCGAGGAAGAGCAGAAACAACGGTTTAAAGGAGCTGAGTCCCGCAGCCCCAGACATGGCCCCCCGGCGGGCGCGCTGCTCCCGCCACGAGAGGCCCGC